GTGACACAGCATGTCGACCAAAAAGGCCAGATCCATAATCCACTTGAGGTCCGAGAGCTCGGGATAGTCCTTGTCCTTCTTTTCCATAAACAGTTTCACGGCATCCAAAAGCTCAAAGAAGCGAGAGAGTACCTGGCCTTTTGACAGCCACCTCACAGTGCAGTGCAGCGGCAGGTCACCTGGAAGCCCTTGGTCCAGCTCAGCGATGAGATTCTTGAATTGCCTGTGGTTAAGCATAGGGGTGCAACGATACACAAAATTCACGGTTCGGTTCGGTTCGATACTTTGGTGTCACGGTTCGATATTTTTTCGATACAAAAAAATGTTCATGCATTTTTAATTTGTCATTTATTAAAATTATAAATATATATTTTAACTCAAAAGTACAGTTTTTAAATTTAACCCTAACCCTTGTGCGCGTTTTTTTATTTTGACAGCGAATGCGCACCTGCAGACCACTTATGTGCAGCCCTGGTTATTTAGCTCATCATATTGCAGCCACAGAAATTCTTTTGTCCATGAAACCATAAAGCTGCACTTTCTTTTTGCCTTATAGTCTGATTTGTCATAACTTCTCCGTTTTGTGGTAAGCTTTTCTTTGGCTGTCACTTCTTCACCCTGACCTGTCTTATTTGGCTCAGCAGAACTGAAATGCTTTTACACACGCACTCACATAAGCTCAGCGATTCTCTGCGCGATCAACCTCTCACATGTTTAAGCTTGCTGCGGGAGATTTCACTTGTCATGTTTGCATAGTAAGCTAACGATTAATAAGACGATGTCAGAGGAATTGGTGCACAAATTATCATCACTCACAGATCAGTGCTGTCGCTCTCTATACACAGTTCGCACGATTGCAAAGTGAAAGCAAAAAAACAAGCGCAAATTCAAACGCGATTTCAATATGTCACATATTGACAGTGGCTCACCGATGCCAATGACATAATTACCCAGCTACATTTCTGAAAGAATGCAAAAGCATTGACATATATTTTTCCTTCCTACAATAGCCCGACGGGCAGGGAAGAGATAGATTTTGGTAGCCCGACTGAAAAAAATCGCTAGCTCCGGGACGTCGGGCTAGCGATATTGCAAGCCCTGTATCTGATTGAGGAATCACTCATCTTTGGAAAAGAGAGTTTATTACAGAGAAATGTCTCTTTCCAAAATAAAAGCTATACTATCCGCTTCTTCTGGGCTATATTCTCAGCAGCATAAGGAGAATCATGTGCTAACAGCTGTCTAAATGACTCGGCTAAAGTTAGTAGCATGCTTGTTGTTTTTGTCATTGCACTAGGATGATGTCGGCGTAAATGTGCAGTCATATTCGTTGTGTTCCCACTAGTGCTTTCAGGTTAATCTCGTTGAAATGACCTTAACGCCACAACACGGCAAATCTCCGTTAACGAGCTACCGCCGATCGCTCCGTGCATGGGGCTAGACGGCCAACACGTTAACGAGCTAACTGCGCTAACACACTAGTTCACACCAATGTAATTAAGCATTGCGTGGCACATCCAACATACTGTTTTACTTTAGTCCATGACTCGCTTACCTTCAGGGTCATACGTCACATGAAAACCAAAATAATTCCAAACGCCAGATCTGAATGAGGTTCAATTTGCTTGTTGCAAGCAGAGCTTAACTTCTGTCTCACTAGCTTGCCCTGCGCTCTTCCTTCTGACTATGCTGTCTGTGTTGAGCGCTCAGTGGATCTGCGCTCGACAGTGCAGCCTAGGCGGAGTAGTCGAACACAGATTCACTGAGCGCTCAACACAGACAGCATCGTCAGAAGGAAAGTTGATAAAATAAATTACAAATGTTGTATTGTTCGATACATATGCGTACCGAACCGAAAGCACTGTATCGAACGGTTCAATATCGATACGAATATCGTTGCACCCCTATTAAGCACATATGTGCGGATATAATTGACGATTTCCATCACAGGCTTCATGATGTTATCTAAATTCAATGATTTAGACACGAGTTGCTCCATGTGGATGATGCAGTGGAAATTCCAAAAGTCAGGAATAGTTTGGTCAGCTTTGCACAGCCCCACAAGCCCGTTCACAGATCCCATCATGGCTGGTGCTCCATCCGTGACTATTGCAGTTAATTTCGTTATGGGCAGATTTGCTTTTTCTAATGCAGCCATCACGGTTTCTTTCACATCTATGCCACGGGTTCTGTCTTTTAATGGCACAATATCCAGGAGTTCTTCTTTGATCACACAATCGTTTGACACAGACCGTGCAAATATTGCCAACTGAGGCTTGTCTTGTATAAAACAACTCTCAACCAATGCGACACTAAAATACTCACATGCTTGAAGGTCAGAGTGCAACTGTGATTCAATAGCCGTGTTAATGTCCGATATTCTGTGTTCAACAGTGTGGCGGCACAGTTGGACGTCTGATACCATGCGTTTTAATTTGTCGTTTTCAGGAGACAAGATCTCAACAACGTCACTGAGGCATTTTTTTAACGAGCTCCCCTTCATTGTATGACTTTTTAGCCCGTGCAATGTTCCAAGCCAGCTGATAGGATGCGAGCGTTATGGTCTCTGACCGCTTCGTAAATTTTTGGAAAAACTGTATCTGCTTTTCTGCCTGACTTTTCAAAGTGGCCAACTCGTGCTTGCGAAGTTCAGTCCCTTTTGGAAATTCGAGGTCGATGTTAGCATGGAGTGAGCTGAAGTGGCGCTGAAGCTTTGAAGCTTTGAAATGCGCTAATGACGTCTGACATATAAGGCAGAATGGCTTGCCATTGCGTTCAACAAAAAAAAACAAAAAACTCTCCCACTCTGTTAAAAACGTCCTGTGTTCATCTTCATATTTTTCTTTTTGCTTTGCATTTTTTCCTGCCATTTTAAGGGCGAACTTGCTCCTACTGGGAAACTTTGCAGTATTTTCATCTCACACACATGCACATTTGATGAAAATACCGTATTGAACTCAAGCGATGCAAACGCGCACATTTTAAAACAACAACACAAAAAAAACCCCGTACCAAACACAAACTTTGATATGAACGTATCAGGCAAAGAGCCGCATATGGCTCGAGAGCGGCGGGTTGGCCACCCCTGGTCTAGTGTGTCAGAGATGGTAATTGAGCCCGTCTCTGTATAGCCTGCTCTAATGAGAAGCTGCAGGCCTTGGGGTGACTAATTTCTCCTATGCTCAGAACGATATGTCAGGCTGGCTGTCCTGTGTCTAATGACTCCAGATACTTAATGAAGGATCGGTGAGATTTCCAGAAACATGAATGAACCGTTTATATTAATGTACTTCATAGTGCACTTGGGAGACTTGCAAACTCAAAGGCTTTTGATGTCCTCAAAGTGCACTTTGCTTATAGATATATATCCAGACAGAGCAGAGGCAAATTAAAGCAAAAATCTTAAACCTTGACCTCAGCACAGCGTGGGGATCTGACTCAGCTTGGCTGTGGGGAACATTTTGCCGGCACTGTGTATTAAAGTATTATCAAGGAGCAGTAGGTTTCTAAGTTTTAAGGAATTATTTAATAAGGTAAGCATATCAAGGCTAGACAAAGCTATATTTGCTTGGCAAAGTATAGCATGTTCACCACTCCATCAGTTGGTGATCTGATCTCTCTGCAGCTAAATTCCCTAAGTGACAGTACCTCAGTGCCTCAGTAACCACATCCTCATGAATTCAGTTCAGTTCGATTTTAGTTTTATGGCACTAATCACAACAACAGTCTCCCCAAGGTCATTTATATTGTAAAGAAAAAGACCCTACAATAATAAAGAGAAAACTGCAAGAATCAACAATCCTGCAACAATCAAACTGGAGATGCTTTGACCTGTGTGAGTTGTCTACACAGCCCTGGACAGAGTTGGACATGTCTTATACAGAAACCAGTGAAGCTGGTAAACATCACATTTCACTGTCATGTGATTCTCATCTCCACCGTGTCCGCCATGGGTCAGGAGCTCTTATGTCCTGAAGGAGCAGCACAGCAGCTGATTATGATGGATTATGATAGATCCCTCCTTGACTGTCCTCTGCAGCTAGTCGCACATTCCCCGACTGCATTTTCACACCCTCAGACACGTAAATGTTCACAATGGTGACACTTTGCAATAGACCCTTGAAAGACACTCTGCAACAGAATGATCTTTTTACCCACCGGCAAGCATAGACCATACAGTAACACATTCTTTATAAAATCGCTGTATGAAAGTACAATGATAATGCAGTGCCACTGATCAGTAATACATAGTTCTGAACCTAATTAACTCGCCACAAACTCAGATGAAAGCTCACAAACCCACTGGGAAAAGGAGAAAAAAATCTAAAAGCAGACCCAGAGAAGGAGAGCCGCTTTCACAGCAGGCCATTTGTTTTGATTTTGTTTGGTGTCTTTACCGGTGCTGTGCAGAACACTTTGAGCAGTGCATCTCTGTCAGATCAGCTACCTCCTCCACCCACAACCACCACCCCTCGTTCCATTACCACAGATGGAGTTAGTGTAGCAGCCATGATGAGAAATGAGGTGGATGGCACTAATCGCCGGTGCAGACTGATGTACGTTCAGTCACCTGGTCAACAAGCCGCTAAAGAAAACAGATGTAGAGCAAAGGCCATCAGTGATGGCTAAAGTGGGAGAATGTCAGCGTAGATGGTGATATTGACCCAGGGGAGGCTGTAAGAGATTTCACGTCGCTGGGTGCCGTGACTCTGCATACGATACTGAGCAGCAGGTGCACTGGCGTGTTACATGGAGAAAAGCAAATGGTTGCCTTTCATTACATGAGCTCTATGAAGCGTTTTCCTAATGTACTCTGAGAGTACTTTTTAGGCATTGCCATGACAACATAGAGGACTAGGGCTCTGCACTATGTAAGAGAATTACAGGTCTAAGTAAAACAAAGGGGAAGTGGAAGTGAAGCCAGAGCAAGTGGGCTCACCAGCAGAGGAGAATTAAGTGGCAGCCAGAAAAACAAGGCGGGGGTTGGTTGGGGGGGGGTGAAATTGCAGTAACGTGGTAGTGATTTAGTCACATCCACTTTTTATCACACAGGAAGGCTAAACGCTTATCAGAGAGCAATAGAAAGCAGGGCTGCATAGCATATCTTTTCAGCATCAACATTGCGATGTTCCCATGGGCAGCAGTAATCGCACTATGTCCCCTCAGTGAGGCCAATTTACTTAAGCATTTCATGCTATAACTGCTGTGACATTAAAAGACTCACATGGTTCTCATTTTCCATGACTAACCTAAAAAAGAAGTTGGCCTGATATAAAATTATTTACTTAGATTTAAGGATTCTTGGATATATCAAATTACTGTTCTTTATTTTTAGAACAATGGGTCTGCAATCTCACCGCAGAGGAGCAGGAGAGATGCTTAGAAAAGGGAAGATTTGGTTTCAAAAAGAAAAGCAATAAATTGGCGGGGTGAGTCAGTTTACTCAACCGGCGGCTGCTGAACCATGCTGTTCTATTAGACTCTGTTGTTTTATTATTATTCTTTAGGTGCACGCTGAGACATCTGAACCATATCACTTTTTCAGTTTTTGTCCAGTATACTGTGGCGTTAATAGAAAGTGAGATATCCCTAACCTGTTCGCTCATGGCCTTTACTGTAATTAACAGGTAGGGGAAAAGGGTCACCTGGAATTGAGCAATGACCTTCTTCCTCATCACCAGTCATGTTTTTCTATGAACATTATTTCATATGCAAGTCGCCGTTTTTGGAGGTAGCACACTGACTGAAGTCTTATTGGAGTGACCTTTAGTTACGGCATCAGATGCCGTTTTGTGAACTACACATACACCTTCTACTTTTTAAACTGTCGTCCTCATTTCACTTCATACTACCATTTGGCCAAGTGGATTTAACATTATACAGAGAAGACAGACATTGGAAATGGACTACAGTCAAGAGTCACCTGTACTATTTCCTTCATCATATCTGCATTGGGGGGGAAAGTGTTTTCATTGTACTGCCCTGATGGTTTCCCCTCTTTGACCCTTCACTTGAGTCTAACGTCTATCCCACGTACCTTTATTTCTTCTCCCTCTCACCTTTGTGTTTCTCTGTCACTCTCTTTGGCCCGTTACATTTGGAAGATATAGTCAATTCACACTCATTTTCAAGCCCTGAAGTGACTCCATGGCCTGGCTACACAATTAGGAGCTCATTACTTGCTAATACATAGACTAGAAGACAGACAAAGGCAGTCTGCTTTTTTGTTGTGCTCCTTGCTTCCATCATTTTATATCTCTTTCTCCCCAGACACTTTTTCTTCTCACTTCTCTCATCTCACCCTCTGCTACAATACATCTTCTCCATGGTGTATAATGAGCTTGTGTGTGCTAAGAAGAATTAATAGTTCAATTTCCATCGCTTAAGCATTGTTTTTGTGAAATTGGATATACTCTCAGCCCTTACACCTAAGACATTTGAATCTCCAATTCTTATTTTCTGGTTCATTTGGCATCCAGAAAGCTTAAAGTCTGCTTACAGGAAAATCTGACATTTGTTTCTTAATGGATGATACACATACACACAAAAATGATTGCAGAAAACAAATGGGAAAGTGTTTAAATCTTCTAGAATTCTAATGTTAGATCCATCTTTTTTTTTTTTTTTTTTTTTAAATCATAAATTTTGGTAGGTTAGAATGACATTATAATAATGTGAGCAAACATTCTTAGCTTTAGCCATCCTCTGATACTCAAATATGAATACCAGAGTACAATGTCATCAGCGCCAATGACTGATGACATTCATCAGACAAATGTTTCATGTCTGCATCCTTAGGCTTCGACAGACACAGGCCTAGAGACTGGTTCATGGCCGTCTGGCAGCCACTGGCTCCTAGAGGGGAAAATGCGTATTCCCTCATGGGTTGGCTGCTGGTCGCATGAGGCTGACAGCAGTCGCTGTGATTGCTAAAGTCCCAGCCATACAAGCCTAGACATTGGTCAATGTCACAATCAGCCGCAGTCTGCGAGTCACAAAGGTGCTGTATGAAAAGCCTTTTTTCAGTTGCTTTTGGTTTCTAAATACCAACCAAAAGTTTGTGATGCACAACTTTTATTTTAAAGGCGAACATGCTCTTTGCACTTTTACAATTGTTAATCATTCTCGGCAACTTTAAGAATGATTAGGAGAGCTGGATTTACTTTAAGATCCACATTACCTGCATTTTTAATAGCTTTTATTGGCGTGAGCTGGGTTTCACAAATAGTGCTGTTACTGCTTAGCCAAACATCTCATTCCCGAGACTTTATCCTGTCTGCCCAGTGACGTTTAGTATGCTACCATCTTGTTTGGTATCAGCAATATATGCCTACTAATTAGTGTAGGCTGCTTTTCCATGTATAGTTGGTAACTTTGTCCGAAGCAGCTGTTTCTTATATTTATCAATATAGCTGTGACAACAAATGACTATTTGGAGATTGTGATTTTATGGTAAAGCTATAATTATGAAACTCTGGCTTGTAGGTTTAAATAGAGTTCTAAACTGACCCCACCAAAGACACAGCTGCAAAGGGAGCTGAAAACTCCTTATCTATAGTGGATGTTGTGATTTTCCCGTTAACCCATGCATTTGTGCTAATATGAGTCAGTAGATGTACCTGCAGAGAAAACTGTTCCTTTTTTCCCTCAAGTTTTGCAAACAAATTATTTATACATATTAATAATTCGAATTTGACTGGAATTTGAATGTCTTATAAATTTTGTTTCTGTAACTGTGAGCAATGTGGGCTTTTGTTTGAAGTTTCCATCTTTTCATGTTCAGAGCTCAGGGTCTACAACTAAAAGCAAGCCGAGGAACAGAGAGAGCCTCACAGGTGTAACGTAAGGTCAGCTTTGTCAGATTTCCCTCTGTGGCACTGTCTGCATCATTTCTCACTATCTGGCTGGCTCTGCTGAAATGCCAATTTGCTCAGCGAGGGGTCTCGCAGCATAGCGCTGGATAAAGGATATGTCCTGTTTACCAGTGTGTTCTGCGACAGTTGACTGCATGATGAAAGAGACGCAGGGGAGTGTTGACATTTAGTTTTGTGCCACTGATGGCCAGTGTAGGGAAGCAGAATTAATGGAATAGATTTTGTGAGTTTGTTTGATGAAGAAATGCAAGCCTATAGGAAGACATTTGTCTAGCTGCCACTGTGTGTAGTTGTGCATGCTTTACTTGGAAATACGTGATACTTTTTTGTATTTTTTTTTTCCTGTGTGTCAGACAATACTGCTTTTTTTTTTTTGTCTGCATTTGAGCGACAAGCAGCTCTTCCTCGATTCCAACATCTAAATCTAGTTTTTTTTTTTGTTTTTTTTTTCCCATTCTGCCCCCCATTCTTCCCTCCCTCCATCCTCTCTCTCCTAAATGCTGTGAAGGTAATCCCAAGGTGATGTTAATAGGCTGGGATACTGTTGAAATTGCCACTGTCATCTCTTAGAGGATTAGATGGACAATTGCTTCTATGAAGGCCAAGCCAAGCAGTTCAAAGAAAACTGCAACAAAACAACTTTTCTAAAAGTGCCTTATACTGCCAGCATGCAAGTAACCTCTAACATTACAGCTTTTGGGTTTTATGTGCTCAGTATTGAGCTTGCATAGGTATGCACTGATGTTCTGATCTCCTTTTTAATGTAACTACAGATGGACTCATAAATAGCGAAAATATATCAAAGCTTTGGGATTATAGGCTCATTGAGATCTTTGATCCTAGATTGATGGGGGACCATTGTGTGATTAATGGAGTTTTATTTAGCCAAGCCAGGGTAATTTTGCCTGTCACCATTGCAGTGATTCAAGTGCAATATGAAAAGGCCTGTTTGACATTGGATTTATTGCTTTAATAGTATAAAATTATCATGCAGAACTAATGAAACACTTGTAAACATCTTGTCATAGAAGCTGTATGTGGATGCAAGTTTGAAAGCCGTTTGATCAGCGGTTCCCTTTACTGTTTCCTATGTAGAGACTTTGCCTAAATTTTTTTAGTCTAAAAATCTTAATAGGACTTCTTAATAGCACCTGTGTTGAAATCATTCTAGAGATATATTAATAGATGACTGAAGGGGAATTGACAGCAATTTCCAAATTAAACTGGGTTTGTTTTTTCATTTTTATGGATCAATGTCAATCACTTTTTAATGTACCTATTATTGTGGGGTAAAGTGTTCAAAAAAAAAAGACAAAATAAGTTGCACAAAAATGCCAGATGTAGTAAAAATTATACAAATTATAACTCGGATATTCAAAATGATATTTTATTTTTTTTAATTTGTTAGAGTTAAATAAGCACTTGCAGTTTCCAAACAAATAGTTTGCTAGCAATTATTTTATGGTTCAGACTTTACAGGCTTAAAAAGCATGAAAAACAAATAAGCACTTTTGGCCCATATTGACATAATTGCATCACATATTTGCTGTAAATGTGTTGAATGATGCATGTTGCAAATCCTCCATCCCAAAGGTGTTCTGCTGAATTGAGATCTGATGACTGTGGGCCCCATTTAAGCACAGTGAACTCATTGTCATGTTCAAAAAGCAGTCTGAGATGATCTGAGCTTGGTGACATGGCACATTATCCTGCTGGAAGTAGTCATCAGAAGATGGGCACACTGTCAGCAACAAGACTTAGATAGCCTGTGGCATTTATACGATGCTCAACTGGGACTAAGTGTGCCAAGAAAATATTCCTCACACCATTACAGTGCCACCAACTCAAATCTGAATTGTTGATACCAAAGCAGGCTATATCTACGCTTCTGAATGTTCTGACTATCTGAATGACCCGACAACTTTTTGTCCAATTTTAATGAACCCGTGTGAATTGTAATCACACTTCAAGGTTTTGACATGTTGTGTGTTCAGACGTGCTCTTCTGCATATCTTGTACCTTGGTTGTAATGTCTGGTTGTTTGAGATAATCTGCTATCTACCCATTGTCCTCACACTTCTGGCATCAACAAGGCATTTTCACTCAGAGAGCTGAATATTTTTTTGTTTTTCAGATTCTCTGTAAAGTCTAGAGATTCCTGAGTGAGAAAATCCCCCGTAGATCAGCAGGTTCTGAAATACTCAGACTAGCAATCTGGCACCAACAGTCACGCTACGGTCTGATTTAAATGACCATTCTTCCCCATTTTGATGCTCAGTTTGAACTTCAGCCTACAGGTGAACCTAAAAAAGAGGGGAAAAAACATTAAATCAGAAGACGTGTCCAAACATTTAACTGGTAGTGTAGATGTCGTCAAAAGTCACACAATGAGTTCTACTGTAAGCATAAAATATGTACATGCATGTAAACTAATCACAGTTTCTGTCTGGCCTTAGTTTGCCTCTTTAAGCTGCTAATTTTCCACGTCTATTCTCTCCTTGTGTGTCTGCCTCACTCCACTCACTCTGGTGCTATTTCAGCCCACAGATGCACTATCAATAATTCAGTCCCTTTAACAAGGCTCAGGCTTTTAAGAGGGTTTGTCAAAGCCCCTCCTTTCTAGATGCCTGCTAGTCACTGGGTGGTCATGTCCTGGTGGAAAAGTCCTTGATTTTATACTGAAACCAGAAATAAAATTGTTGCTAACAGACATTGTATATCTTTATTTATATTGTTATTGAGTTTGTTTCCTCTCAAGCTTGAAAAAGCTAGAGCACACTTACTACTGGCGGGCCAAGAAGTCAGCGTCTTGCCAGGGATGTAAAGCCTAAACTGTAGACAGAGTAAAATGGCAGCCAAAGCAAGAAGACAGGCAGGGTCACAAAAAGTTCATATTTCACTTTAATACTTGTTTACATTTTTATGCACCAAACAGAAGGCTGGCGAGGCATTGCAAATCCCAAACAGCCCCAACATCTTTTGGGGCAAAACCCATGTGGGTAAAGACTGCTTAATTCTGTGTGGAGCATGTGTGTTTGGATTAGTTTCAAGGAGGTCTGCAGGAAACGGAGGCTGTTGGTTTTCTGAGTAATGCGTACTGAAATTACAGCTATCCCTCAATGTCTGTGATAATGTCATAAGCTACAGAAAACGTACATTTATGCGGGCATATTGAATGACACAAGCCCATAGATTCATTGAAGAAAAGCAAAAATAATATGTGCACTTTGAGAGAATGATTGATTTGTAGCATTGCCATATTACTCTTGTATATAGAAAAGCATTACTTTAGAAATGCAATTTGGCTTTTCAGTTTTCCTGCTGGTCTGACGGGCTATAAATCTGCAGCACTTATTTACCAGATTGGTTGTAATTAGTTTATACAACAAGTCACATATTCTGTTTTTATTGCCTCTTTTGAATTTTGAATCAATGATTATTTAAATTATTGTCTTGTATCAATAACGAGGAGTTGGTTTGCTCATCTAAAGGTTGGTATTAAGCAATACTCCTTTGTTTTGTGAGTTTCCTTGAATTCTGGCATCCTTATTTCATTACAAAGCAAATGTTAAGTCCTCCAAACAACTGGTGACTAATCTTCCCTCATCCTAGAATAAGAGGACAAGCTTGTGGTCTATTGTTTGCTTCTCTTCAGATGCACACAGGGGGATTTGCTGATTGCCCACCCACAGAGAGCTGACCGGTGCTGTGGAAAATCCAGCCGAGAATTAATCACTCTCCCCTTGTGAGGGTTGTTGCTCAGGAGTTTCTTGATTGGGTTTGACGGTGCAAATTTTTTGAGATGTCCTTTAACACCCAAATTCAAGTTTGGTTACCTTGTGTTAAGCCTTTTTTGTTTGTTTGATGGTTTGTTTGTTTTTAATCTTATTTTTAGACTAAAGATGAAAAAAGGAGCCCCGAGGCATCATATATGCAAAATACTCTGCAGTGAAGAGGCTTTATGTGCGATATGTTTTTCTCCCCGACAAAAACATGCTCGATAATTTAACGGAAAGAATTAGAAGTACGTCTACTACTACTTGTTTCTCATCAAAAATTCCAAGCTCCATGAATATGCAAATGTAGAGATGCCTCTAGGTGCGGCGGTGAGCCGTGTCACACCCACCAGTGAAACGTTGCTGGTCTCATTACACTTCGATCAGAACACAACCACTACAGCCACTCAAACCACACAATTTATGTCAGAGTAAGAATAAGTTTAGCAGCTTTTTCTAAGCGTGTGTTTTTGTTTTATGATTGTTTAGCATTGCTTTCAGCAGGATGCGTGGGATAAGAAAGTCCTGTTTTTATTAAAGTCTCTTTCCTCAGGATGTTGAAATGTGTGTAGTTAAATTTTCACGTCTTTAGTTATGCGGATAAATGGGTGTGCGTGCGGCTCAGAAATGACAGTGCTGCTTGGTGAATATTTTAAATGTCATGTGAAATGTGGAAATCAGACACAAGTGACGGGGGAGGATTCTTAAACATTGTTTTTCTCTCTTCAGCAGCAACCTGCTGCTTTTGTTTAACTTTCTTGCTCAGTATTCCTCCTTCGTTCTATGTATATATCTCTCTGGCTGTGTGTCTATGCACGGCATCCTCGATAGAGATAAAATGAGTAGATCACATGAATTTAAATGACATTCCCATTACTCTATGTTCTCTGTGCTGTGCGTCAAACACAGAAGAGGAACCTACAGAACGGGTAAATAACACTGTGTCATCAGTTCCTCCTAGAAAGTCTTTGGCACTACACACAAAGGCCAGTTATCTATTCATCACCTGTACTGTTGCACTTTATAGTTTGGACAAAGTGATATGGAAAAACTTTGAGAAGAAGCCAAAACAATGCATTGGAAGTTTTAATTAAGACCATATGTGTGCAAGAAAATAATGTGAATGTGGAAGAAATCAATTCCAAACTGCACCACAAAGTAATAAATGCTGACATATTTGTTAATTAGCATTGTTACCCTCCTGTTGCATCAGCACACCAATATTGTATTCTTGAAGCATTTCAAAATACTTATGCTTAAGTATTTCTTGTTGTACATAGACTTAGAAGTCGGTATCTGATAAAAGTTTAACAGATTTTTACAAAGTTTCGGATTAAAGCTGATGAAAGTACATGTAATATTGAGAATCAATATCGCAGTGTATGCAATAAGATGAAACAAACACTTGAGGACTGCCCTAATATTATTCTTATTTAAAGCGCTGTCTTTCAATCACAAGGATATAGATATCCACTGGTATATTAAGTTACACCTTATGAATAGGAATGTTAAGCAGTTCAGACCAACTTCTCCAATACACAAAGTGATGATGATCAGATGAGAAGTCATTATGTCTCTCTTACCCTTGAATTTTAGATTTGATTAGAAATGATAACTGAGAATGCCTCAAAGCTCTGTTTCATTCTCATTTTGTCACTTTTAATATAATTAGGATCTGTGTTACACAGGCTACCTCCACATGCACGGGTCTTTTTTAAAATTATAACCCTTTACTTATAGAAAGAATAGACAACCAAACCTTTAAACGATAACGTAGTGCACATTAGTGTTCAATGTAGCATTGTTACATTATTGTTACATTAGGAATCTTTTCAATTCATTTTTTTCTTAATTTTAAGAGTTTTCATAGAATTTTCAATAATTACTAAACCAGTTTGAGCAGCTTATAGTCTGTATTTACTGTAGTTTTGCATGCAGTGACTGTTTTGTTCAAAATTTCACTTTGCTTAACAGAGTAAATCCACAATTTCCTTAAAACTTATCTGGCTATAGCATTAGTCATGTCTCTAACCTTTGGACTTTGTAGTAAAGCTGCAGGTACCAGAGTTTCTGCTTCCCCAGCTGTGTCAATAAAAATGACTGAAAGTCTATGTTTTCCTATAAAAGTTCTCTGTGTAATGTACAGGGCAAAACATGTTGGTCAAGCAGTAATAGGGTTTTGTCATACTTTAAGTGTTGCTGGAGTTTTAACCTCTTTAGACATTTGGCTTGCTGTCATAGCGTCATCTTGTACTCTGCATCTGTTTTTCCTTGACTTGCCAATCCTTGAAGTAAAAGAAAGCAGAGAGGATTGAATACCCAACAAAGCGATTCTAGCATCAGCCATCTGGTTTTGTTTACCAGCAGACAAAGAAGCAGCAACATTAACACCTGCATTAGTAGCGGCAACAATTCTAGCAGTGTGCTGCAGATTGGACTTTTCGTGTAATCTGAGTGTTTCAAATGCTTTAGCCCAGCTTGAAAATCCATCTTTAACAAAAGCTTTTAGAGACTCTTGATTGTTACTTGTAGCAGAGACCTCACAAAACCTCAGTAGAGCTGTAGGCTATGCAAAGAAATTCCATTTTGTAACCAGCCTGATAATCCTTCCTTTTCTGCATTCATCCTCACTTCTGTTGTCTGTGTCTTTAGTGTTAACTGACTGGACACTGCTGGAGGCACCGGTGGAACTGGTAGATATAGAAGCATCACTTTACTTTGGGTTTTTAAATTGGTCTGTTTTGTTAGCATTAAGTCCCCCTCTTAAAGGCTAATGTACATGCAGTGAGTGTCGCGGCAGAAGCATAGGCTCACCAATCTGCCTGGAGTGCCAGTCTGATTGCAGGACAGGACAGACAGCGAAATAACCAGTCACGCGTAGTTCCTTAAATTGATCCAATCTACCACCACCCCATGACGAATAAATTTAACCTTGAGCTGTGCTGGCAAACTTGTGCGCTCAGCATTCTCCGAAGGTACTCGAGCACCTGAGCACTGTTGGAATCGACTGCTCTTACATAAGACAACGTTGTAAAGAGGGTAATGGCCAGTATAGTTTCTAGTCTGGCTGCCCTGAGTTTAACTTCATGTATAAAACAGAAAACTCAACATAAGCTTGGCTAATGACCACTGGTGAGCAGGATGGCAGGGATAAAAGCTAGCATTTCTTTTTAGCTAAGCATTGCTCTCCTGGCAAACTTGAGCTTCCTCGTGCATCTTTTGCAGAATCTTCCTACCAGGTGACACGTTGGACGCCTGGCCACACAGCTGCAGAATTTCTATGCTGAAAAACTGATTTAGGAACTTAGTGAGTCAGTATTATAAAAAAAATATGTTGTAAATCATGATGAAAATGCAAGTCTGCCAAGCAAAACAGCAACCCCTTTCCCCTGCACCATTTTTATGCGCACTTAAGGACAAAGTTATATTTAGTTCTTTGATCCGGTGATGCCCGTTTAAGATGTGTGTACAGACGAATGTATGTGTGCATTAGTGATGTGTATATCACAAGAATCTGGAGCTAGAAATAATTGTCCTGACCTCTTACATTCCTTTTTTGTTTCTCTGAAGCTGTTAGACTAGTTTTCCCCTGTGAGAAAGTTGTTTTTCTTGAGTGTGCTACACATTAAAAGCTATAACAAAAGAGATGCGCTGCCTATTAAGTAAACAAGCTACACCATAGAATCAGCATAAACAGGATAAACTGCTAATGATGAGTGTAATATGATAGTATGTTCAAATGCATTTGGTTTATTGAAAAGCTAGTACATGCTTACAGCTTCTTTAAAACTTTTTTGTCCTAAATATTATATGTGGTTTATGGTATTTATTTTCATGAATTTCTTTACTTTAGCAGCTGTGTCAGGAACAGAGTTATTACATTGGCTCAATGATTTTACTGCAATTACTTTGGAACTCAAAGTTAAGTGTCTGAGCACCTGTCACTTTGAGTGTGCAGTGTGTTTAATGAGGAATTAATTGTCAGATAACCCCAATATTTCTGTGCACAATAAGTTCTATTAAATGATGTATCAAAAGGCTTAGTGAAGTGGGTGTACATATCATCTATAGACAGAAAAAGGTATTAAAAGCACAAGAAAAATACATTTCATTAAATTCAAGGGTAACTAATCTATAGATTGAAAGGCTCTTGGTTATTTTAAGTACATCAGCACTAGGCAGGTTTTATTTGCCTTGTAGGGGTTCTGCTTGGTAACTATTGATTTTAGCACTTTTTTAAAAGTCTGATTGCATTTGAAGTCTGCTTTTGTGTTCTTCAGGTAATCACCCTTAGTTACTGAGTAACTGAGTGCGCACAGCGTGGATGACTTAATGTGAACATTTTGTGACTTTTTCTCACCATGTGTTCTTTTCACATTAAAATGACATTAACTTTAAATCAGACGCGGTCCTCGCTCAGTTTGCCATTCGGTGATATTATCAATAGCTCATTTAGCCCTTGTTGCCAACTGACACTGCAAATAAAGTAACTACACAGCAGGTTATGAAGTCAGTGACTCGTCCCGGGAACAAATGGATTCACACAGTAGATTCATCCTTAGAGGCAAAACCAAAAAAGGCAAAGCAGCAGCTTAAAGATACTGTGGCTACATTGTAGCTGGTTTCATATTATTCCGGCTTGCTGTCTATTTTCATGCATGGTTGCTCTTTTCTCCATCTCTCACCATTATTGCTTTGCTTGCTCTGCTGCTCTGTGCTTATGCTACCCTTCCTGTGTGTGTGTGTCTCTGTCTGTCCATAGGGTGCCTTTAATTGATGCAGACCAGGTTCTTTACACTTGCACTTATTTATACTGGATGCTTCAGTGAGCCAAAGTAACAGGATGGAGAATCTCTTCTTTTCTCTGGGAAGATCTGTCTCCCTTTGCCACATACAGACACACACACAATGAAAGAGACAGCCAAATCACCCCCTGCTGCGTCTGAGAGCCCCCTACTTGTAGTTAGCCCATTTAGAGCGGTGTGTAATTGAAAAATAAGTTTCTTTTCTTGAACCTGAAAGGCTAGTTTTCATTCCGAGCTGGGCTATATTGATTCACTCCTCCCTTATCCTCCAGCAGAAGCAGCCCTTGCTGCCCATGTTTGTATTGACATTATCTGTCTGTAATGTAACTTGGCATGCTCCTTTACAGCTTCAGACACAATTTCACATAATTCGCTGGAGATAGTTTTAGCAGCATGGTGTGGTAGTGTGGACAAAAAGATTATGTTCAGGGGTGGTTGATGCGGATTTATTTCTGAGGACATTTTTTTGTCTGGAAAGCTCAAAAACTCCCCTCCATAACCATTTTATTGTGATGTTTCTCCCATAGTATTATTTCTTACTGCTACTCAAGCTTACAAAGTCGGGCCAATCAATTCTCGGGTGCTGTTTCAATCTGAGGCTCAACCTTTTATTCAGGGCTGATCAATGCAGGGCAGATATCTAAGGCTGCTTGGGAAGATGGGGGTTAGAGAAGTAACAGCCAAGCCAATAGTCACCTCAGCTATAGATTTATATCACTGACCTTTTATGTGCAGAGCACAGAGAACAGAATTTGCTTAGGGTGGATATTACTGGGAACCCAAGGACAGAAAATGATGTTACTGGTTACCTCCCTGCTGCTTTTTTTTTTATTACCCCTGTACTCTTTCCTTTCATAATTGCTCCATATGACTCACATCCAGTCATATATTGATCTCCCCCTTTCATTTCTTTCCTTTCATCTTTTTTGAAACAGAATTTTTAAAAAAACTTATGTGCTACATGCTCCTATATAGTGTTGGTTTAATCCTTATTGCATCTTGTTGTGTGTTACTCTGCTTTACACAGTACTTTCCTGTCTACCCTTGTGGAGTATTGCAGTAACATATTTCTGTTGTACAACCCAGAGTCTATACACACACCCAGAAGAGTCTTATAGGTGAAGGGAGGTCATCTGTATGCTTTAAGGTTTAATACGTTTTCAATAGCTACTGTCAAGAGTAATATATATTTTTTATTACCAAATTAGCTGTTCATTGTCGAGGCAGCATACTGACATTTGGTTGGAAAATATTCATAAGGCCTGGAAGACAGAGGCAGATGTGGGTGGTTGGACCTGTCTTTGCATATTCAGAGAACTGCTAAGGCACCCTAAGCAGTTCTCTGAAAAGTCTCATGACTGCCATTTCCAGAATCATTATGCATGAAGTATACCCATGGAACATCTTGGAATGAAAGTTGGAAGCTTTCCATGTGCTCTCATATGATTTTTTTTTTCTTTAAATGGATAACAGTGGTCCTAAATATTAAAGTCCTAACCTATTAAGAAATTTTGTGGTTACATATTTCCCAGATCTTTCCAATTTGATTCCAACATTTGCAATTCTTAATCTTCTTTGCATGCGGGATCACTTTGATTTGTTTTCTCACTTGTGGCATTTCTCAAGGTCAGACACAACCCAGAAATGTCTGTTTGGGTTAAAAAAACAAAGGTAATTATTTTTTAAAATGAGTTTCTTTTATTCGCTAAAGATCCTAGAGTCATTAATAGCATTTCCCAACTTTCCAAACCCAGATTTATAAATCCAACTGATGAAAGCTACATCGTTTGGATCCATGTTCAACATCTTCTCGTCTTTGTGGAAACACACATTTCTTTGTGGTTTACTGCAAACTGTGAACGACCTGGATATTTTTAAACTGTTAACAGTTTTACGACTGAGTTTTAAATTGCTCGGATTTCTCCTTGCTCACTTAAATTCAGCTTAATTCAGAGAAATTATTCTCTTAATAACAAGATCTACCATTTTTTTTTTTTTAGATTTTAGTTTCTATAATGCACGGAACAATAAGCTGATGTAATTTTATAATAGCCAATAAATGAACATTTTAAAAAGTATAGAAGAAATGGGGGAAAGAGCCTTCAACCATGTAATGAGTGTTGACATTACATAGTTTGTCCTCCAAAAGGCACTTTGAAACTTCCCTGTTGGCAACACCACAAACACAACAACCAGCTGATCTGAGCCAAGTCAGACAGGGTGTAAAAGAGTAATCCATGACTTGCTGCAACAATAAAACAAGATTCATTTTAAGCTGCATTTTTTATATTACCTTAAGGGCTCATAAATAGCTATGCATAAATGTTAGAGCAATCTCTTTATCATCCACTATATCGGTTCTTTAATATCACAAAATCCTCGGTATCGGAGTTAAAAATCCTGTATCGGCCAGCGTCTAGTAATTACACCTTTTTGTATATAATCTTGCAAAAAATCATCCATCATATTGCTTATCACTTACTTAAAATGAAACAATGTGGAAGCTTACTTGAGAAATAACTTGAGTATTATTCAGAACCGCTGGGAAATTAAGCTTGTGTTTATGCTCGGAGTTCATTTTCATGTCAAATTATAATTGAGGTAAGAGAGGTGCAATCAATATAACTGCAACAGAAGCTGAGCTGAACAAATAGAGAGGGGAAGATTTCACCCAGATTGAGCCACTGAAACTTTGTGAAAGTAGCACAAACTAAAAATGTACATGCTAATTTAAAAAAATAAAATAAAAAAAAAAGGGGGGGGGGGGAGTATCCAGCTGATGTCTCTACGCTCTATGATTTAACAGTTTAAATGGGGCCTTAGTAGACACAGGGTTGCTGAAGGGTGAGAAAAGATGGGATGCAGACGGTGGGTGTGCAGAGGAAAGGATGGTGTAGTCAATATTTACTCAGAGTAATTGGTCTACACTTCCAGGTTCATCCCTGCCTTATCTCCTGTTCTCCCTCGCACACTCACTGTGTGACCACAGTTACACACACACACACACACACATACACAGGGGATTGTGCACAATGCCCTGAGCAGTCCACAAAATAATGGTTAAAAGCATAAGGGATAAATGCTCGACACAGTTGCTTCCAATAAAACTGCCCAGGTCACCTTGGGAGTGTTGCAGCAACCCCAGAGTACCATAGTGAATTATTATTGCATAGTGAATTGTTATTATTTCGTTTCTCTTGTAGTGCCATCTGTAATGACCTGTATAGCTACGCTTTCTGCGGTAATGAGGTGGGTTTTTGTTCATTACCTCAGTGGCGAACAAGTATTGAGGCTTATTACTGAATTGACAGAATGACAGGGGCATTGGGATAAGAGGTGTCGAGCTTGCCAAAAGATGGACTCATCACAAGCTTGTTGCAAGAAGTACTGCAAAAGGTTTGCTACTGGCAGTGTTACACTCGTGGGAAAAGACGAGCTGTCCATCAACTGTTTCTTCTTCTTTTTTTTTTTTTCACTCTTATTGGTCACTCCTCAAACACACCCACGCAGACACACATACACATATATGAGAGACAGTCCTTTTCCTGTCCTCTTGTGCTCCCAAAGCAGCTTTCCAATTAACCCAGTGTATCTCCGTCAGCTCTTTGAAGTCATTTTATATGGTTCTCGCCTACACTTGTTCTGTGGGCCTCTGAATGGACATTTCTAGGTTGTCAACAATCACGCTTCTTTGTGCGGTGTTTGGTCTGTGAATACTCACAGCTCTGTAACAGGTTCGTATTTAATCGTCTCCCCAGTGTCGCCAAATCCTCATAGGGAATTGTTTGCGTTCTTTTCTGTCATATTGAAAGACATTTACTGAACAGTATAAAACCTCCGAGATGACCGTTGTTGTGATTTGGCACGATATTTAAAAAGTCTGATGAAAAATAAGCTTCTGAAGCAGAGGTTAGTGTACTGGAACAAGCTTGAATGGCCTTCCATCACCTTCAATTACAATACATAATTACTTCAAGCAAGTTCATTTTCATGTGCTGCAGGCTGGCGTTCCCTGCAGCTGGTGCCACGATGAAGATAACAATGCAGAAAGTAATACCACCCCACAGTCCCTGATGCACACTATGCACATTCTTTTTTCTGTCTCATTCCTGTCATGCTGCAGATGCCAAAAAAGCTGCAGTCACAGCACTTCAGGATCAGCTAAAGTTACTTTTTTCAAAGTAGAAAGTAATTTCAAATGGAACGTTTCAAACAGCTCAACAGACATTACCAAACGCACGCACACAAGCTGTTTCTGTGCAGTTCGACACTCAGTGTGTCTTGCAGTCGATGTGTTGATGCAGTTGCTGTAGTTCAGTGGCAGAAGAAAGAAACAGCTCTGAGAAATGTGTAAGAAATATACTAGGATTGTGAGAGATTAGGTAAGAACTGAAAGTCAAGAACTGCTCAGGAATTGACATTTAATAAAATGTGATGTCCTCATTCTTTTCAGAGTTATCTAAAGCAGACATTGTTCATAACGTGTCACTGAAACTATCTTCTTTAATTTTGTGAAATGACAAAATGATAATTTTTTGTTTCAAAAGTTGTGTGACGGTACTGGACAGATTAATATATAGAGATTCAATTGGATACTTTGTATCCATGTATTGTGTTAATCTCATTATAATTGCTGTAGCATAGCATGTAGACACACTGTCTGCTACAAATTTCTGTATCTATGTGAATGGTAAGGTTGGGCGATTGGACGAATATATCGACTGTCGATGATAGGCTGAGCCTTTCGCCGATCGTTTTTACAAGTCCGTGCATGATTACATGAAACATAGACACAAAAATGGATTTATTATCATTTTGGTAGTCGACCAGTTTGCCAGGTTTTTCTAATTAGTCGATTAGTTAATGATTATTTCAATAATTCTTATCTCCTCTTCCTGTGGGCAAACCTCCTGTTCTAGGCTCCAGTACCTCACCTGTGCAAGTCTGCCCACCTGTGAATATCACCCTGTTTTTGAAAAGGGTTTACTATTCAGAATAAACACTAATATTAATGTGAGAAGAAAAAACAAACAAACTAGGAGACGGTGTAGCTACTCCAGTTTAATGGTTTACTATCGCATTTCACTCATTAGCTAACAAAACTGAAATTGTGTTCACTCGGCAAGCATCAACCATGAGAAGTTTCTGCCAGGTAAGCTAACATAAACAAGGTATCAGTGCGACACACAAACTAATTCTCTAAAGCTGACCCACCCAGAGTTGACATCACAGCTCCACATTGTCGGTGTTATAAATGCGTGTGCACCACAGTAGTGCTTTCATGGAAGGAAAGCACTGCTTTGCACAGTCTGCATTCAACTTTGTCTGTTTTGCTTGAAATGATTTCACATTTTTGAAAACTTCTGTTTCTATTTACTTCTGTCCTCCTGTTTTGCCATTCGCGCTATGTTATTCTTCGTTAATATTGGGTGTAGTCTAAATATGGAATGAAGAATTTCAAAAAGAGCTGCAGACCTGGCAAGAAACACCATTAGGACATAATGGCCCATGTTGGACTGGTGCCATGCCCACTGTTAGGTCAGGGGTAGCAGTCATTAATTAAAATTTAAGCTGATGGTGCTCTTAAGGATTACTTGCCAATTCCCACCTTTATCTAGCATTTGGACAGCAGCCATGATAGCTCGTGTAACATCTGCTTATATAATATATGGCTAACTCTATTTAACTCAACAAATCAGATCAGTCCTTTTGAGGTGAATCACTTCCCCCACTGCAGTGCTACACCAGAACTTAAGGTTCCCTTACCTGCCAAATCCCATTTTGATCCCTTTGCTAAAGAGTATACTGTTGTCAGTGTGCACATTGTGCCTTCATTGTGAAGAATTGGTCAGATAAAACGAGTGAGATGTAATATTTACATTTTGAAAGTGACCTGAACATATTTTAGTCTTATAAGTTATATTCGAAGCATAGTTAATTAGCAGATGGCATAAATGCTGCATCAGGTTTATAATAAGTTGATTATTGACGATGGTTATGTTATAAATATTTTAATCAGATAGGCTTTATCTTCTTATCGGCTCTAAAATGTATAAGGAAATTTTCCAAGGCATGTATTTATTGACTGCAGCTCGATCTGATCTGTTAATTTGTAAAATATCGTCTTCACCCTTTTTGTTTCCTGCAAGTTAACATGGGCAAATAAGCCAGCTGGTGTTGATGAGGGTCAAAGGTTGGACAGTGTGTGAGTAGCTTTGTATGTAAGCTGATTGCAACTTGAAATTGAAAGCGTCTCCTTGAAGCCGAGCTATAAGTTAACACTAATGTGCGACTGCTATCTCTGCACCATCTCTATGCCTCACTGTGCTCTTGAAGTTAAGCTGGATTTTTTTTTTCCACTTGATACTGAAACATCATTGAAGCGACTCAAGATAAGAGAAGAGATGACTCATTGTTCTTATATCAAACCAGCCTTAATGTTTATATGTTGAAGTTGAGAGAAGTGGAAACACCACTCAGCTGAAGCTGCTAAGAGTAAGCCTGCTATTTATTTTGTTTTTTGGAAAGGTTGTTTGACAAAAAGATAATCACGGCGATGTTTTTCATTTCCAGTTTAGATGAATCAGCGTAATAAATAATGAAAGAAATAGAAATCTGAATGTTTTCCTGTCCTCATAAGATTCAGGAGCTTTTTCTTTTTTATCACTCAGCTTTTTTTGTTTCATATTGCATGAGACAAACGGAGGCGTTGCGTCATGCATTCAGATCCAGAAGGGTTGTGCTGTCTCATTTAAGAGACAATCTATACATGGTTTCCAGTACCTGCTGCTGTTAAAAAAGCAGCAGTGGAAGGATGATGTAAGAACAGATTATTTCTGTGTGTCAGTTACTCAGCTGCACTCTGGAGGCTGGCTACATGTGCTAAGTGAATATCAACGAGCTGTGGTAAAAAATGTGGAGTTTGACTTATGAATTCACAAAAGTCAGAGGTTTTTATTTGAAGTGGGGTGCAGTGGATTTTGTGGTAATGAAGATTACTTCATTGAGAATGTGTCCCTGTAATGGTTTATTTGAGGAAAATGAACAGTGTCACTGCTGGAGAAAGGGAATTCATTTAACTGGATTATTTTAAAGGACTGAACAAATAGAAGCGGCATCTGAACATAAATACAGAGCGATATCTATGATCTTTATCCATCCAAGCATTTTAGAGGTTTTCATATTTGTCATTACTATTCTGCATTTAACATTTTTATCCCTTTTCTCATTTTCAGATTTTGTTGAGAAGGACATTTAGACATCCATCACTGTCTTTTGTTATAAATATTTAATGTCAAATAAAATAAAATAAAAAAGCTGCAGGTACCTACATATATTAAGTATTGTGCTGAATTCTTGAGCTTAAAAAAAGTCAATATTTGGTATGACCAGCTGAGTTCTTTAGTACAGCCTGAACTATTTTAGGCTCTTTTAAGCTTTGTTGTAATTTCTTTAAGCAGTCAGTGGTTCTGTCGGCTCCTTGAAGGGCGTTCAAAGCTCTTCGTTGGATGTTGGCTGCCTTTTGTTCAGTTCTGTTCAAGCTGATCCCACACCGCTTTAATAATATTGACGTCCAGGCTCCGGAGGAGGGCCAAGTTCATGACTGATAGTGTTCCATTGTGTGTTTTTTCTATCCAGGTATGCTTTGACTGCACTGGCAGTGTGTTTGGGATCGTGCTGAAAAAGGAATCCGTTGCTTTCCAGATTTCCATGGTATTACACATGGTGTTGCACAGTGGATCAAAATCTAACTCCATTCATAACTCCGTCAATTTTGACAAGATCTCCAACTCAACTGTCTGAAATGCAGCCCCAAACCATGACAGAGCTCCTGTCGTGTTTTACAGATGGCTCTAGACACTCACTGTTGTAGCTCTCTCCTGACTTCCTCCTGCTGACAATTTGAACCAGAAATGTCAAATTTGGATTCATCACTCCATCAGACCTGTTTCCACTTATTTAAGTCAGGTTATGGTGTAATTTGGCATACCTCAACCTTTTCTCCCTGTTTCCTTTCATGTTCACGATAGCCTCCCTTCCACTGAGACCATCTCTAATGAGGCTTCACTGAACAGCAGATGGATCAACTGAAAGGTTAGATGAATCTCTCAGGTCATGTGTCAGGTCTTTGCGGGGTTTTCTCTTACTTAAGGGCGTGACAGATACTGTTCATCCGCTGCAGATCGTTTAGTTTTTGCGGGGGGGGGGTTCTGACCTGTTTTTGTCCCCTACTTGTCTGTTTTCTTTAAGCATACACTGCACACCACACCTGACCAAGATATACCAGTTTTGTTTTGTTTTTTAAAGCTAAAAGCACTTTGGGAATCACCTTGTTGATGCAAAATTCTATTTTATGGCTGTGAAAATGTAAGATGTCGAGCTATATTTGGCATTTTCATAGATTCAACTAAAGAAATTGGAACAATTGATATGTTTTTGCAACACACTGCTAGTAACAAATATGCCATTTAAAATTGGTGCTTTAAGTTTTCTGTCATGTGTAGACAAAACACTGGGTCATCTGTTGGGTTAGATTTGCTTTGTATGCTCGGGTAGGTCAGTGATAAATGGTTTAACAATAGAATATATAAAAAACAACAACATTCCTCTGAAAATGGTCGGGTACAACAATTAAACTGGAAATGAGCAAAAACCTGCCAGTGTAAAAAGACTATTGGAAAGCCTGGAGAACTATTGCATAAAACCACTTTAAAAAATTACTGGCTTCATGAAAACAAATATGAAAAAAACTAAGGACTTAAGAGTTTGTGTAGTACTGTGCAGGTCATTCATGTATCAATATATCCCTCCATTTTATTCATTTCAGTCATGAAAATAAATTAAAAAAGAAAAAGAACCGAAAGAGCACGGTAAATAATAATTACATTTTCACATCGCTGCACTTCACAATTGGAGTCATTTGAGCTGAGGACTCCATCAGTCATTGTTCTGGTAAGCCACACTGCCATTTAAGGTGCAAAGGTCCATACGTTTTCACAGCAGCTGAACCCGTTTTAGCACTGCAGCATAAAAGTGTTCCGCGGTCTGTCTGAGACGCCTTATTACTGCCACATAGCTTTGTTTGCGAGCTAAACTGCTCACCACATAGTGTCAAACCTCAGCCAAAAGGCCGTGTCTCACATTCCAGCCCATAATGCCGCAGCTGCACTGCGTCCAGTAGAAATGCCCCAAACTGGTTCGGGGCTCATGATTACTGTGCCGACAGTGTGCTTATTTTTGTTCTGCGCGTGTGTATCGGTGCATCTGTGTAAGTCTAGGGTGAAATATGTGCTCTGTTTGTATATTAGTGTTCTTTGATGTTTGTATCTTTATCTTCCCTATCGTGATTTTCACCCACAATACTGTTAACACCGAATGACCTAGACCGCTTTTGTATTCATGAGATCTTCCTCTGTTTATTTGCTCATAGATTGATACGGCTTTTTAAATAGAGCCGCTGCCTTTTAATATTTTTCTGTCTTTAGACAATGGAGATAATAACAGATTTCCATTTTGACTCTGGTGATGAGTATCGCTGTAATGCAATCGCTCTACCTGTTTGATTTCTTTACAGAGCGAGTTTGTAATAGTCTGTCCTCTCCTCTGTTTCTCTTGTTTATCAACAGAGAGCCAGCTGCTTCCAGGGAATAACTTCACCACGGACTGCAACATCCCTGGAATCTTCATGTGTGGCGATGGCAAGTGTGTCCCAGGCGGGCGGCAGTGTAATGGACTGCCCGACTGCTTTGACAAAAGTGACGAGAAAGGCTGTCGTAAGTTCGTCATTAATAAATCCCTTTTTAACGACTAGATCCGCCTTTACAGTTGAAGCCAAATTGATTATTTAGAGTTACATCAAGTCTTCACAGCTCCTGAACTCTTTTTGCGATCCAGCAGTTGTACTTCTTCTGACCTCCCCGTCCAAAGAGCCACAAGGGCCACTTAAAACGAATTCTCTGCCAACTTAAATGAACTTCCCTCCTCAATCCTCAAATCACTCTCCCCTCAGTGCACAGCCTTCCTCTTTTTCTTCCAGACCCTTGGCCTCAGTTTAGCACCAGGATGAAATTTAATACCATCAAAGCAAAGGCCGATTACTTCTGTGCGCGCAAATAGTGGCGCGTGCATAATTCTACTGTAACACTAGAGTAATAGTTTGGTTTTGATCCTCAGTTTTAGTTGGCTTTGATCTTTCTGGTCTGTAGCTCCTCCTTTTCTCCCGCCCATCTCAGCCAGAGCTCACACAAAGATGGGATTGCTGATGAAGATCGACTTTGAGGAGCTGCCACACCAAATAGAATCCCTCATCTCCCGATATGTTCATCTCTCTGAATGTCTCGCCCTCCCGTTTTCAGTCGTCTCTGTGCACCATCCCAGTTTATCTCATCTGATCATTTTTGGCTTGTAATTTGCTTTGCAGATGCCTGTTTTCATTTAGCAAGCAATAAACCTCCTCTTAAATCTTTTTTTTGGTTTTGTTTTTCCTAACCCTGCTAATTCTCCCCCAGTTAGAAAACAAAAACAAAACATATGGTCTGCCCTCCATTCTTTGTTTTTTCCTCCTCGAACAGTCACTTCTCTCACTGTTCTCTTCTTAGCAGCTCAGGGAAAAGGCAGACGACTCTTGACAAAGGTGTGCTCCCTGGCATACAAGCACACACACACTGTCACACTACAGTCGGTAAACTTACTGTATAGGTTATTGGTTGTCTTAATTTGGAATGACTTGGAAATCTAAGATGTATATTCATAGGGAATTTTATTGTATAGACTAACCTTTTTTTTTTGTATACCTTTTGCTTGTGACGCCCTTTAACTTAAAGATAGACTGTTGCATTAATAGACGACTATACGTTCAGATTCTCATCGCTCACTGACCTTAATCTGTCAACAACTGTCAGACATGGAATACTATCATTTATGCATATGAAGTATCAGATACTTCCAGTATAATACAGCCTCTATATCATTCTGGTCAGCCACTTTCACTCCAACAACATGCAATTAGTGCTATAGTTGCAGTTGTTTTTATTTTAAACATGACAAAACTGACAAATTAAATGGGGGGAAAAAATATTTGAGGAATGTCTGGTAGCCTCTAAATGAGATAACAGATGAGGATAACATGAGCTGTCTATGATCAGGGTTAGACTAGCATAACTTGTTAGCTCAGAAAATTCTCTTGCAAGTGAATGGAGGCGTCTGCATTGGTGCTTTTCCTCAAATACATGTCATTTATAACGAGAAGCAGTATATCCATATCTGCAAACAATTTTAAACTTTGGCACAACACAAAAGGAACGAGACGCCCCACTGTGTTTGTGATTGGAGTTTGAATTCAGTTAACTTCCTTGCTGCATTCTCAAGAAAGCAGATCACTGAACTGCCAACATAAACTGAATGTATATAGTGCACGCGGTGTCTCTCGCTGACATAACATGTACTGTATGTACAATATACTGCTAAAGATTAAAACAAGTTATCACAAGGCATCACGCTCATCCTGCTTGGGCTGTCAGAGCGCTATTTGTGTTTGCTGTAGACATCTACATTATCTGCTCTGACATAAGTGGGCCTTATTATTCTCAAGTAGATGGCTAGTTGTCGTTTGGTATCACTGGCGACTGCTTCCCGAAATCCCCAGACAAACTTCTGGCTCCATTAGGGGCTCTGCAGAGACAGACAGACAGATGGAGGGATCGGAAACAAGGGAGTAAGAGAAAGAGAGGGGGCAAAAAGGGGGACTCATTATTGTGGCTTCAGCAAGACTTCTGTCAGGATGTGTATTATCTAAGGAGAACACAGTGCCTGGAAACTTTGTGACTGCAGCTATGCATTCTCTGCAGGTTGACTTATAATTAGACACCCCCTCTAAGAAAACACAAATAAACTCAGTTATGGGTATATGTGGTAGGTTTGTTGACTCTGTTTGCTTTCCTTCTGTCGTTGAGACATAAGGGTAGTTTTTTTTCGAGAGCATACTTCTCAGAAAAACACATTCTAAATATTACTATCATTACAAATGATTGCTGCAAGGCTTGCTTTCTTTATATTTATAGTATCATAAATCTCTAGGGTGTCCAGTGTCCATCCGCTGCCCTTTGCACTCATAGTCATTACCATGGAGGCAGAGCAGTGTTGACTACTACTGGATATTAAATTTCCTTCCATCTGTAATGTGAGCAGATGGCTTTTGTCAAAAGGTTTCCATAAATACACGCCTTAATTGTTGATACGTGTCGATGTCTACATCATTTCTGTCTCTTGGCCCATTTTAAGTATCACACTAGTGGATTAAGAAAGAACAACAAAACAATTCAATTCTCTTCTTTGTGTGCCTCATAAGCATGGAAAGATTGTGCTTTGCAGGCATGCATATATTTGGTGACTTTGTGTTGTGTTTATTTTTGCCATATGTGTGACCATATAAAATTCTCTGTTACATTTTTTTTTTTTTGTGCCGCAGAGGAGTGCCTATTTTTATCTCATTCATTTGCAGAAGACAGCTGTACTCAGAAAGTAGATCCCGCATAAGCCCCTGCTCTTTAGCCAACAGATTGTGCTGAAGTCTCTCACCAAGGAATACTTATCCTGTACCTGAGGTAAAGGTCATATGTGGGGACATCCCCCTGGTGTCTCATTAATGAGCATTTTATTTTTGAACACCATGTAGCTAATGGGAAACACAAGAGACAACAAATCAGTCTCAACTCGTTCTGATATCTTCAACATAAAACATGAACATAGTTTTTAAAAACACAAGCGTATACACTCATGCTGGTGTGCAGTGGCCCAATCAGTAAGAAAAAAAAAAAACTATTTTGGAAGATGGATCCACCTACACATGAACTTAGGACGACATTTTCTAGGAGAGTTTGATTTTTTTGCCAGCAGTTGTTTTGCTTCCAAAATAAACTTCTTTCTGCCTTATTTATTGACCTGGTTACATTTTATTCCAGTGTTGATACCAGTTAGACGGTTCGCATTTGCATTTGCATGTTCTTTTCTCAATCCTTTATTTATTTGTAGATATATCTCATTATGTCACAGCTGTCAGCTCAGGAATTGTAAAGCCACTCCTGTGTTCCTCCCAAACCCCACTGCTCCTCTGCTGTTTGTTTGTTCTTCCAGTCCCCTGTAGCACAATGGTCAACTGGATTTGTGTAAATACTTTTTGCTGGCTCTTAAATAACAGTTTTGGCTGAGGGAAAAAGGCAATATCTCCAGCCTGAGTCTTATTTCATTTAAGATGAATCTTATTGTATTTCCGCCTCACTAGTTGAGGCCAGGACCCTCTAAAGTATTGTTTTGATCGAGCCTTTTTTCTCCTGGAGTGCAACCTCTACTTTGCTGTACATTAAATTAATTACATTTTAGATTAAAACATGTCATTTGTAATTTGTCTCTTTTTTGCAGTTATTCAGTCCTGGGGATCTGCCATCTATGGGCAGTGCTTGTGTATATATGTATGTCGGCAGATTAAAGGGGTCTTTAAACTGAGATTCAGAGGCAGGCTGTTGAATAATTCCTCACACAAAGAGGTCAGAAGTACCATCCTGCTCTCTGGTGTCCATAGCGCCAGCCCGGGAGAGTGTTAGACGAAATGGATGCTGACAGACGAGAGAAGGAGGAGAGCTGACTGAGCTCACTGGGCCTCAGAGCCAGGATTAGCCTCTTTGCCCTTGTCTGGACAGGACATGAGTAGACGAGAGAGGACGGATACATAGCAGGGCCAAAAGGGTGAGTGGACGTGATTTAGAACGCAAGAAGTGTAGAATCAAAGACGCAGACACAGAAATGTAGTTAGGAGAAAGAGAAAAGACGGAGAAGTGCATTTCAAAGCAATGATTGTTCTGAACTAGTGGCCCTGCAGGCTGAGGCTCTGGCCTCTCTGTGTGGGAGAGTTCACATATTCCGAACTCTGCACTCACAAACTTCTCTGAAACTTCTATGCTGCTTTGAACTACAGGGCCCAACAGGAAGGCCACTGGCCATACCGAAAGGCTGCGCATCTCCTAATTCAATGCTTAAACACAAGTGGTTTGCATGGCAGCATGCCTTTAATTAGGGCGATAACTCTGATAACTCTTCACTGCTTGAACTGGATCTTGAACATTTGTAATTGTTGCACAGTGGGTCAATTAAAATCAAGCTATGAGGGGGGAAAACACTTCACTAGAACTTCTGCCCAAATATAAATAATAAAATCAGGGAGCTATTCAGAAGTTGTTTAATGTGAAACAGAGTACACAAGCCAACAGTTACTGTAAAAACCAAAAGGGCTATTACTACAGCTAACTGAGCTGAGCTACAATACCATTCATTTGTCATGCCAATCAGTAAAGCTTGGTTTATGCCTTACATTTAGCAGCAGATGTGTTTGACATCTTTAAACAATATTAACTTAAATCTGTCTGTTATTCCAGACATGCTTGAAACTTTTACTTGTGAACTGTAGCCTCACACGTGGTGTGCTATTGAAGTCTCTATTAAGACTCTATTAACAGTGCAAAAATCACTATTTCAAGTTTTAATTTTTTGTTCCACTTTTTATTGATCCACTCTGATCTTCATAACATTTAGGAGCAAAATAAACTCCTCAGTTTATTGGATTAAATGAATATTAAAGCCGGGACCAACATCAATAGTGCTGTTGTTTGTTTTTTGTGTGTACTGGCCTTCGCACAAAATACTAATGACATCCCGAGTTCAAAAGAACCACTAAACGCTCATCAGCAACAAAGCTCTCCACATCAGTAGGGTTGATTGTCTC